TGTGCCGAGCATATTTTCCCATAACCTTCTTTGACAGTGTTATTACGTGCTGGTTTTTTCATTATGTATATATCTAGGGCACCTACTCGTGATCGGCCCTTATTCAGAAATCATCGGAAAACTGACATTGGAAAGATCGAGAAAGAACTAAGTGGTTCGGCTTCCCTGAATCTCAGTAACTCACTTGATCTGGACAAAAGGTGGGAACTTCCGAAGAATACAATACTTCAAACTACTACTAGTAACACTCCCTTGGTCTTTTCACCATCAAAAGGTCTACCTTTGCTGGCTTAAGTCAAGTGCTGGTAGACTTATACGGTGGAGGCGGTAAGCTGGAATCAGTGGAAGGTTTCTGACGGTCCGAGTACCTGAAATTTTTACGAGGACGTTTAAAACAGATGCACAGTAAAAATCAGAAGAGACGGAGCACGCTACCAGACACGTCAATGCAGAACACCGCAGGGGAATCGTGGGGCATTGTACTTTCTGATAAAAAAGGGTGAAGTTTTACCCATTATGCAAGACCCAGCAGTTCGGTAATTCATCAAGTTGATCCCTCCAAAATGGTTAACTTCTTGGCTCGTGAGTTTCAAAATAATTTCTGCATGTGGAAAGACCACCATAAATCAAGCAGACGCTAGTAATGCACAGGAGTCAGGTTGTATGGAATTTGAACACCTTAATATAGGGGGAATCTTAGACAGCTTAAATCCAAAAGGTCCTCAGGAATTGATGGCATCCACCCAGAAGTAGTCAGTGTTCTTAGTGCCCCACTTGTGAGTTTCTTAATATATTCCTCCCTATAAGGCAGACCGCCTCTGAATGGAAAGGAGTGGCTGTCGTCTCAGCATATAAAGGTGAGAATGACCTAATTGTCTCTGACTATAGATCAATCTCATTAGTCTTTCAGTTGCACAGGTTATGGAAAGAGTTGTAGGCGACTCGTTTCGTGACTGTTTACTTAGGAATACATTTCTAGCTGGCTGTCACCATGAAACTTCTAGCAGCCCCAACTTAGTGATGGCATGGAATAGTTAGACTCACCATGTTGACCAGATCAAGTTGAGTCATATTGGGTTCCCCTACCTTTTGAAGGCTTATGACAGGGTTAAGGCATTTCAGCCGTCGGGGTGCATGCAAGGCCAATCAGCTGGCTGACAGGTCACCTAACAGCGACTACGATCGGTAAGAGGAGGTTGTTTCTTACCTAAATGAGTTCCGGCACTGGATGGGCGCCTCAGCGTTCCACTGTCGGTCCAGTATTGTTTTTCCTCCTACAAACGACCTATCAGAGAGCGTAAGTTCCCACTCACTTCCATATGCTGACAATCTCAAGATTTGAGAGATACAGGGGCCAACGGATATCTTCGTTCCACGGGAGGACCTTCATAAAAGTCGTCGGGTGGGCAAGCGAAAATCTGCTTCCTGTAAACATGGAGAAATGTAAGGTGATAATTGTGGCAAATACAGGTGCAATTCTGAGGGAAATAAATATATCACTCAAACACCAGAAGTTCATAGTGATTTATTCTCAAATTTCAGGTCGGTATTCACCGTGAACCGATACCATTAGGAGAACCGATGAGAACCTGTGAGCACTGGATGGCTGTTTCTTCCTGGCGTGGAACTCCTCAGCAGAGCCTAGGTGACGCTTTTGGGGGTCCCCCTATGGTCTTTTCGCACTAAACGGAGAATATGGAGGTCCGGGGTTTCTTCCTCAAACTCTAGAGAGTCCAACTCTGGGCATTTTCACTAAAGTGCATAATAGTCAACACCTGGAGAAAAACTGGCTGGTGGTATTTCCATAAGTGAAGACGAGCATGGACGTCCTACAGCAGGTTCGCAGCAGCGAAAAGAAGAAAGTGGTTGGGCTACGACACAAATCTTATCTAGATAGCTTAGTTACTCTTAAGCTGCATCTGAAGCAATGAGAGAGGATTAGAAGGGGTATGGTCATAGTTTATCATAACCCGCTTCATCTTAACTGACCTTGTCGAAGCTCCGATCAGGCACACAACCTTGTGCAGTTATCCTTTGAAAGCGGAGCAAGACAGTGCGTGCGATGATACGTGCTAGCCCATTCTCAGAGTACGTAAACTGTGGAACTCCGTTCACGACGCAGCTGTTACGTCCTCCTTCCCTGGTGCTTCCGAGAGGCTTGATGAACACGTAGCTTACTATGATACTGAGGGACTGTGCCCAAGAAGTCATTCATCACCTCAAAAAACCATAACTAGAAGCACTCCTTATACCAAGTCGACCAGTTAATTAAATTGTTATTTCTATCCCCCCAGTTTAATTCCATTTTGGTTCATTTATTGGATATATCACGCAGTGGAACAGTGTTACTCAATGGATTAGGTTTCAGACAACTAATTGTCCGTAGTAATATCAAGATCCTGATATTAAAATTACAAAGAAGAGAGTTTTTCCATCATTATAAATTTAAAGCCCAAGGAATCTTTGTCCCCCATCTCTAAAACAAGAATTTCGAAGCTTATACGGCGCGCCGATAGCACCAGAAAAAGGTGAGGCAGCTACCGGTGACGTAAGCGTTGCGCTTATCTCCCTGCGACTGAGACAACTAACTGGCGCCTCACCAGAGTCACACTTTGTTACCGAACGCACTTCCCACCACCATCATTACGAACTTGATTGAATCAACGATTCTCCTGTTAGGCTTCTTACATTTAGTCACCTCCTCATTATTACTCTAATTCTTGTCCGTGTTTCTATTGTTCTGCTTCGTCCCTTCCCTGCAACTTCCCCTTCCCCTTCCTCGCACTCTTGTTGCTTGACTCCATTTATCAGGATTTTCTACAGGATCACCTTCCCTGTCACCTTCACTAAATTAACATAGATGGTTATTCTTATGTATCAAATCGCATTCCCTCCATTCAGGCTTCTCCGGTTATCTCATGGATTCCCTTAAAGCGGCTACCCTGAACAGCCCATAAGCGACAGCGTACGAAGTGACCGTGGGCACCAAGGTACTGGTAGAAAAAATGGTAAGCCATATACATTAACCGACACATACGCAGGCAGTGTCATCCGGCGAACTTGACAGACGCAAAGGCCGATCAGTAACTATTCGTACTTATTATATACCCACGAATACGAGACCAAGAAAGAACACAATAGCGTAGTCAGATGGAATAGTATATTTGAGAGGTCGTGCTAAGATACCGATGCGTTCCAACTAACTGGCTAGAGGGTCGATTACGAAACGTAACACAACAGTATGCCAAATGGCGAGGATGCCTGACCTGGTGCCTTCAGCTTAGCGAGTCCAGTTAAACTGTGAAGGTCAACACCAATGTTAAATCTCGTCCAAACCCTAGGCTACCCATCACATTAACGATATTCACACTACACAAGCGGCCAAACGTTGTGCGTGGATATCGTTTAAAGCCTGGAACCTTTCCATGAGACCTAAGAGCAAATGCGAAAAAAGAAGCTTGTTAACTCAGGCATGAGAGCAGATATTGGATATTGGATTTGGAAGATGTCATCACGAGTCTCTTCAACATGAACTCGATTTCAGTTTAAAATTACAGCGTCAGCATAAAGGCACAGTTTAGAACAACTCGGTATCCCCCATTATTGATAATTTCCTCTTACGCCTAATTTCTAAGACACAGAAAACGGTGGCACAATGATTCGATGTATGGAAGGCAGCCCTGAAAAATCTATCCCTTCGTCATCTGCTGCAAACCATTTGAATAACCATCTAAGAAGCTAAGATAGGCAAAATAGAAAATTCTTGCAAGTTTTCTACAGAGGTGAAGTCGAACAAAAAGGACCAGGAAGAAAGGCCGAGACAAGGAAGTTTGTACGCTAATAGTTTACTGCACTTGTTGTTGGACGTTGAAGGTCATAGCTCAAAAATTGTCTGTGCGCGGGCATGTTTTGATATGATTTACGCTGTGTTCGTTTTTTGTACTTGTATCAAGTTTACTCATTCCTTTCAATCTAACGAAGGTCTTAAATGTGAAGATCTGTTACCTGGTCAGTATTTGTGTGACTCCCCAGCCATAGATGAACTGACTCAACAACCACGGAACTGCTCATCACTAAAAGCCCCAGGTATTGCATAAATTGCTTGTGATACGTACCCTTAAGTTGATTGTAAACCAGCTCCTGGGATTCTCTGTGACGGAAAGCTATTCAGTGGCTCTGAAATTGGTTTCCAGAAATTAGTAGATTGTCGTCGAGTGTAATTTCACAATTTTGCATAATATGTAAACCATAATGTAGCACTGGATATAAATTCGACTTGGCATTACTGCTGTCAGTATTTGGTGGCGTATTTGGATTGGATCGATTCTACCTGGGGTACCCAGCTCTAGGTTAGTGTTACTATATCCATGCCTGTATACAATAGTATAGGTTGCCTGAAGCTCTTCACTTTCGGTGGGTTCGGACTCTGGTACCTCTGTGATATCCTACTAATTTCACTTGAAGTGAGTGTTAATACTTCATTTTGCTTCGATTGGACAATTGTTTCGTGGGTGTTAATTGACGACTTATTTCTTAAGCTACGAAGCTTTTGCACTGCGTTGTAAATGGTATTTAAGTCGAGGCAGTGCTTGTTTGTATTACAGCGGATAATTCTTGACATTCGTAGTATGTAAAGGATATCAAGTCCACTTGAAAAAAGCAGGGAAAATTACGTCCTGGTATATGGTGTATTTGAAAAGAAATAGGAATAATGGTTTTGAAGCACAGTCGTCTCATCAACCACTCGAAACGTTTGGAAGTCCTAATATGGGATGAAACTGTAGACTACTCACATATTGTGTACCGTGAGGAATAAATTAAAATGGAATTTTCAGGAACATGGTGGGCTTTTTTATATAGCAAGTGGCCATATTCATGGTCTTATACATTATGGAGATAATCAATTTTGCTCAAAATATTACCAAAGCTAAATAACCACCGTGTAAACATTCGCTATATATATATATACATATATAACAAAGTCGCATGTGGTCTGGTCATTAAGTCACAGACTTCTGAAATTTTAGGCGCAGTCTATGTTCAAGTTATGACTAACGGTAGAACACCTTGTGTTCACCAGCTTTATGAAGTTTTCTCTTCAATAAACATTAACTGATAAGGATCACGTGTTTTATGGAACCGGATACATTGTAACCTATAATCAAAACATGTTCAACATTGTGATCCATTTATTTAGACTTGTAGAAAAACTAAAAAGTTAGAGTAAATACTCGTAAGAAGTGACTTTATTCCAGGTCCTTAGTTTATCTATACTGCTTGTATCCACTTGTTTAACTTTCTCTTCCTCAGCTCTTTGTCATGTTAATTCTCTGTATTATTCTAGTTGATATTTGTATTGTTTTGATTTGCCTAAAACATTAGGTGCTAAGTAAAACACCGTCGAAATTCCTAGAGATTTCATCTTACGATTGTGCTTTGATTGTTCAACCGCAACTAAAGTAACCTCTGAATAAACTTTCATGGTACTACTGCTCTCCATGTCTGGTGAAATATGACCACTGGGTAAGGACCTTAGGTGGTACGTAACTCCTATTATCTTTATCGGTGTGTGGAGCTGCGGGTTATTCGTCTAAGCGGTCGACTTTTAGTAGGTCGGTGGTTTGAATCCCGCTCTCCATAACTGGGACTCAGGCCGTGTTCATAAAGCCAATTAGAACTTAAAGCTGTTAGATTTGCATTTTTCATCGTCACGTAAAACTAGCTTGATATACGACTTTCCGGACATATACTAATAAACTGTTTAGGTTTTGTCGGCATCTAATGCTATTTTTAGGGTCAGTAAATTTTCCTCACTTTCTCCATCTGGTGAGCATTTAACAATGCATCTTCACGGTTGTAGCAAGAGACTTCAGTGATCACATCTACCACATACCTGATAGGCACCACTGCTCACCCAAGACATCTCATCGGATAGCCAACCATCGGCTCTGACACGATCTGACATACATTGGTGCCATGTTTTAGTCTGGCCACCTCGGGCCTTTTTCCAGCCTGGACCCACCTCAGCCAACATTGTGTGACGAGGCAATCGATGACTAGGCATACGTAGTACGTGTCCCAACCATCTCAGTCGATGAAGGTTCACAATCTCGTCGACTGACTTACCTCTTCTCCCCAAAACTCTACACCTAACTTCTGCATTACTTACATGGTGACACCACGGAATACGTCCTATACTACGAAGGCAACGGTGGTCAAATACCTGTAACCTTCTCATGTCTTCCACTTTCAATGGCCATGTTTCACAGCCATACAGTAGAACAGAGCGGACTGCTGTGCAGTACACGCGACCCTTAATAGACAAACGAATATCACGGCGGCGCCATAGGTGGCGCAAATTGGCAAAAGCCAATCGAGCCTTTTGTATCCGTGCAGAAATCTCATCGGCAACTCACCCACCAGGGTTGATCCTACTTCCCAGATAAGTGAAGTGGTCAACACACTCAACCACTTCACTCTCTATTGTTAGCCGCGGTGGAGCACCGCTGAAGACCAGTCCTGGAGCAAAAATCTGCATTTGGGTGGTGAAAATCGCATCCCAAACATTCTCAAATTGACACTCAAAGTGTTCAGAAGACTCTGAATCTTCTCAGCATCTTCACCTAACAGGACTATATCATCTGCATATTCTAAATCTAAAGAAAATTCACCTGTGATTGGGTCAACGTCTGTGTAATTAGGTGACGAGAGGGAAACCTCCATAAGAATATCTATGATAAAATTAAATAAGAATGGGGATAGTGGGCATCCTTGACGGACACCACTTGATGAGTAAAGCTGTTCCGGTCGTAGATTTGAATCCAGCGCATCCTTTAGTCTCTCCAGGATGATGCGGCTTGATATCTTGCTTGCTTGTGGTGGGCAGGAGTGGAGCATGATTACGCGCCAGTTCTTACAATGACTTATATCTCCCTTCTTCGGGAGTTTGACAAGGTAGCGCTTCTCCCAATCTCAGGTACCTTTCCTTCCTTCCATACCTTCTACAATAGTGGTGTGAGCATGTCCACTGCTGTTGTCTGTGTCTGTTTTCAGTGCTTCTGGCGAGATTCCATCTGGTCCTGTTGCTTTCCAGGATTTCAGCAAGTTTATGGCATTCAGACCTTCACTTCTGCTTTTGTCGGAGGGCTTGTGTTCACTGTTTATTCTTTGGCTGAGCAGCTGGTGGTATATCCGGACGAGTTGGAGATGGTAGCGGTGGTGGTGGTGGTGGTGGTGGTGGTCGATTTAAGAGATGTTCGAAGTTGTCAGCCCATCGTTTCCCTTGTTTCTCCTCTCTCGTAACTAACTACCTTTCCTTCACTATCTTTCATTGGTTTCATCTGCGTTGATCTCTTCCCTCTCAGATATTAACCTGGTTATTTGATACAATGTTGTCAGGTCTCTGTCGCTCCTACCTGCAGCCTGTTCTGCTTCACTTGCAAGTATGACGTGGAAGTGTCTTGTGTCTTTCTGTGCACTCTTCTTCACTTCTTTGTCCAGTGTAGTGTTTTATACGTTGTTCTCAGTTCTTCTTTTCGTTGGTCATCCTTGCACTGCTCTGGTTCATCTTCTGCTTCACCATCTCCCTCTCCCTCTCCCTCTCCCTGCTCTATCAGCTTCCATGTGTCCGTCGAGATCCATTCCTTGTCTTTTTTCCCCTTTCTTCCTAATGCAGTTATGCAGGTTTCTTTCCTCATCCCTTCCAAAGAATTCCAGTGTTCTTCCACGCCCGATCCTTCAGGGATGTTGCTCAGTGTCTCCCATTTTGTCCTGATGGCTGGCTGACATGAAGATGTCCTTTGTAGTTTCCTCCTTTGGTCCAGTTTCTGTTCTGGGTGGTTGTTCAACTTGAACTGTCGTCTATCACCAACTTCTTTCGGGGTTTTCAACTTGATTTGGAAGGTAGGTTCCTTGCACTAGATAGTGAAGTGAGTGGTGTGAACCTACATCTACTCCCTTTCTTGATGTGATCATGTGTCAAGTAGGCTGGCCGCGTCTCCACTTTCTTCACATTGAGATGAAGTCGATCTGATGTTTAGTGTAGTGTGTCCTGGTGTCTGGTGAAATCAAATCCATGCCACTGTCTTGTGAATATCCTTGTGTTTGTACACAGTGCCTGACTGCAATCACCAAATCGTTGAATGCTCAGAATTCTGCAAACAATTCTCCATTCTCATTCATCGTTTCACTGAGCGCTTTTTGACCTATGCACAGTTCTCTTCCTGTGTTGTCTGCTCCCAGTTTGGCATTCATGTCATGCATTAAAATGAATTTAGATGTCACCAACTGGATTCTTGTCTAGTAGTGACTGCATTTGTCTGTAGAACTCCTCCTTCTTCTCTTGATCTGCATTATTTGTGGGTGTGTAGCGTAATGTAGCGTAGCGTGGGATTGTGTGATTGTGACTTTCCTTAATTTTGAGTTGAACCTTGCTGTTATGATCCTGCATGAGGAGATTGGTTCCCACTGCACGGGAGGGAACCCTTGATGCTTTAGTGGTCATCATGATAGCCACTCCAAAACAGAGTTTGCTCGTGGTTGTTCTCTGGGTGACAATATCTGTGTAGATTATTGACTCTCCATTTGACAGTCTGGAGAGTCCACTTGCATTCCACCTGCTTTCGCAGATTCCTAGCACTTCTATGCCATATCTTCTCATCTCGTTTGCAATCTGGGCAGCCTTGCTAGGTTCAAACATAGTGCGGACATTCCATGTCCCCATGCTTACTTTTGCTTTCATGAAGAGGAGAGAAGACACATCGGCCAATTGGCTTTCCGAAGGCTTTCACCACCCGGTGTCATTTCATCTCTCCGATTCCAGCGAGGAATAAGTTTGTTTTTATTTTTAAATTTTGTCTGTGCTTTGAAGTTTCTGTAGTGGTTGGATTAGTTTTCCGTGGTAGGGTTGCTAGCCCTATGCCCAACCTTCCCTTTTTATCCGGGCTTATGATCGGTTAGTAACTAGTGAACTGGTTAGCACATTTTAAGTCACATTACTTAGTTGAGTATGTATTTAGGTAATCCGAGAACGTGGTGGTTCGACCTGATCGTGTTTTTTGTTGTATCTGTATATTACCTAACGCGTCAAGAATTTCGATAACTGGGCTACCATTTTTGTAAATTATATTCAGTAGTGATGCCCAAGGACCACTTCAAAGTTTAATAATGCCCAGTCCTAGCATGTGGTCGAATTCACTGTTCGCCATTTTGAGCTTATCAGGGGCTAAACGGCGTGTTTTGGATGCCACAGGTGGACCTGTGGTTATGACATGATGCATAACATTGCTGGTTATGCACGAAAGAGTATGCTTTGGTTGTTGTAATTCTGGATATTTCCCTTATACTGCGTGATAGGACGCGTCGCCTGACTGTTTAGTTGTAACGATGACTAAACTTGGACCTAAGTGGGTGATGCCATCAATAGATGACTTCGTGTTGTTATGTCAGTCGTTGACAATGAGCG